GAAGGGGAGGTAGGTTTTTGCGCAGTCGACCTTGAGGGGGATGGGCACCCCTGCTCGTATGGGTTCTAAGAAGGGGCTTGGAGCCAATGACAATGGCCTCAGCTATAGCAGCATTTAATCCGTTAACATTTGCCCAAGCACTGATTCGATCTAGGACTCCATAACTGATTAGATCTAGGTGTGATTACTTTTTTTTTTTTAAATAAAGCTTCAAGAATCATTTCATATAGATAGTTAGTTTCTTTCTTTTTCTTCCGAAATGATCGTTATATACAAAAAGCTTTCAGGTTGAAGACCTCCCCCCCTCAAAAGTGTAAATCGCAAACATGAGAAAATAATACTGGCCGGTTAGGAATGGATTGAGAGAAGCGATTGGTGAAATTTCGGGTGGTTACAAACCACGTGACAACCCTTATATGTGTTTTTGTTATTATCTTTTGATCAACATTTAAATCTTGTAACTCAGTACGAGCTCGATTAACCGTCACTCGTTGATACATCGATTTTTAGTGTCATTAGAAAAGAACTTAAAAATAGGATGGATTTTTAAATTCTGTGTGCATTTCAAAGGGAAATATTAATAACGTACAATAATACTAAGAATTTAATAACGTGCGGGTCATATCTTATTAGATGTAAACAATTTGAGAAGGTCAATTTGCTTTGTCGAAAAGACAAATACATATGAGTTGATTTTCTTCGCAAACGAGCAGAAACTCACCCAGATGGAAAAATCGCAACCATTCTTTCGTCTCTATTTTTTCTCTATAATGCAGATAAATAATAAAATAACCCGCCAACGTTTAGCCAATTCAGGTCAGAAGAATCCGAAAAAAAGGCATGACTTTTCTTCCATTATGCGGTTGAATGCCATAAAGTGGTGTGATCTTATGTTTGTTATTCTTTTCTGTCATGATGACTGAGTTGGTCAAATGTTAACGGGTCATTTTATTCTTTACCTGCATTTTATAGACTGTTTATGATAAACATAAGGCTGTATGGGTGGAATTTTTCCAATTATAACCTAAGTTAATTAAGGCTCAAAATATCGGAAACATTGTTAAACGGACCTGAACGAATAGGAATGATAAACAAATTTTCTAACAGTTTTATAAACAAATAAGTTTCAAGGAACTGTAAATACGCGCTTAATCATCTTCTGCGAATAACAAGAATATTAAAACAGACGCTGAAGCTGCTCCACAAGATCCAGAATTAGCCACACAGCACAGTTATAGTTATTGGAAAATATATTTCCAGCAAATACAGCAAAGTTATTCGAAAATACATTTTCTATTCACTATTGATAAATGAATTAGTTAACTAAGACATTTTACTAATTTTATAGGAAATATTTTCATTTTTACACTTCTGACAAGACTTTCAAATGCCATTATGTAATAATTGTTGATATTCAGCGAAAATTGTTCGACATTATTATTATTATTGCCACTCAATTATTTTTATTCACATTTTGTCGGATTTTTCTTTATGGCCAACAACAACTATGCCATTTAATAATAACCAATTAATATAATTAGTTTTTCTTATGATAATCCTTTCATCCATCTATTCGCTAAATCATCACGTCCTGGTGGTTTCAATTTCATTGAAGCTGCAGGAAAATAAGAAATATTTAGACATAATTATACAATTCAAACATTTATTTTATTTTTTATATCATTATTCAAAATATTCTTTACTTTTTAACGACTTACTAATAGTATTGGTGAGCAGTGGTTTTTAAAAAGTTTATGGTGGATACAAGAAAAATACAAATATTTTTTCGCATTTAAAAATTAAATTATAAACAAAAGACAAGTCAGTAAAAAAAAAAAATAATAATAAAAATAAATAAAAAAAACCTATGAAAAGTTAGTCAATAAAACCTTGCATATTATTTGAAGTGTACAGAAACAAATTGTTATATTTTTTTTTTAATGATTACAAAGAAAATCACCACTTGTGGAATTCACATATATTAACCACGATGTTAGAATAATTAAATAAAGATTCTGTTTTATACTAGTTTAAATATAAATAAAAAAAATAAAAAGAAACAGGAATATTAGCTGATGAGACTTCATTATAATATATTTCTTCTCCAACATTGTCCACATTGGTCATATGTTTCGTTGTTTTGTTTTTTTTCTTTCTTATATAAGTTATACGTTTCATAATAACAACAAAACTATAACTTCCAATTCAAGAGTATGTTTATTAATTAGTTAACACACAATTACATCTAATTTCCTTCATGAACTTTACTAATATATATATATATATACATTTAAAGTTCATTTAAACAAGCGCCCGATTCTGAGTAGAAAGTAGTAAATCCAACTTTTGTGTTGTTTTTTTTTTTAAGTAAGTTTTGTTTTTTTGTTGAATAGGAAGCGATAACTAAAGAAATATTTAATTTAAGTAATTAACAGTTGCTTCACAGTAAAATAAACAAAATTTACTTCAAACGCATATAGTGTTTGTCATTGATAAAACCATTTAAATAAGACTTTAGAGTGACTAAACTAAGCTAAGTTCTATTTAAAAAAAAAATCATTAATTTTATTATATAATTATAACTTAAGTTAATTACATTCATAGGTTCAAAATCTCGGTAATATTGTTAAACGGACGTGAGCGAATATGAATGATAAAAAATGTTTCTAAGAGTATTATAAACCAATAAATTTTAAGGAACTGTGAATACGCACTTAATCATCTTACGCAAATAACAAGAATATTAAAACCGATAAACCACTTTTAGAAAAACTTTCTCGTTTAACAATATTAAATTCCATATTAATTAAGTTGAGGTTTATTAAGTAAAAAATTCAGATTCACCTCAAGATATGTGAAAAAATAATATGGCTTTTTATCCTGTCACCTAAAAGTACTCCTGTTTTCAGAAAAAATGACAAAAATTAATTGTTGCAAAGCTTTTATTTCTTTGACACACACCTTGAGGTGAATCTCAAACTTTTACCTAATAAACCTCAAATTAATTCATATGGACTTAATAGGAATGATAGCAGATCTCAAGGGCTACAACAAACTTTATGTAAATTTATATATATATATATATATATATACATATACAACTGTTGTTTTGATTAGGATTATTCTACAAAAGTAGGAGGTTTCCTTAACCTAGATTTTTTATGGCCTCCTTTCATATTTTTCTGTTCAAACCCCATTCTTCGTGAAAATCTTATGATGTAACATTTCTCTATTTACCATACTTATCTTAATTTTTTTCTCTAGTTTTTCCATCCATTTTTCAAGTACTTTTTCCTAGCTAATCTTCGTTATAAGCATTGTTTTCAACTTAGCTACACCAGTTGAGGAATTTTTTTTTTTTTCAATCTCTTCCAGAATATTTTTCCCACTTCATTCATTTCTTATTTCATCCACGTGGATATTCTCGAAGCTATTAGTCCATTTCTTTTGCCCGAAATTTCTTCTAAAAGTTCCTCTTTATGGTTCAGGTTTCTGCTCCATGCGTAATTTGCTAATGTGATCCATCGACATATATCTTAATTTATTAAATCGGACGTTCTCTTATCTGTCCAAAATTCATATGTCTTAAGAATAATATGAAAACAGTGAGATGTATAATTTTGAAAATTCCTGAATTTTTCATAATCCAACACAGAAGATAAACCAACCCTTTAAGCGTTATTCAGAAAAACGGTTGAAGATAGGATATCATATGAATCAATCGACTGCTACCGTTCATGTGGTATCAGTTATAAAACAACGTATAAAGAAGATTTTTTTTTATTTGTAATTTATATATTATTTTATAAATAATTTGGAAAGTCTTGGATTTAATATGGTGACAAAATAGTTCTTATATTTATAAAAACAATTATGTTGATTTAGTTTTAAGATTTTTTCAAACAACAGGTGCAATTTTTTTTATGCATGATTAATTTAACATTACTTTCCTGTACTATTTTATTTATTTTTGTGGTAAGTATTTTGATACACCTTTTTTTAATATATTTTTTTATATCAATGTAAATGCTTTTAGATATTTATTTAATTTTTTCATTCGTCAGTCTCATAACCAGAATTAAACTTTATTTATTTTTTACAACAGTGTTACTCTTAATGTCTTTTGTCACAGATTAAAGTTTCCTTTTCTATTCTATTCTGTTTTTGCTTGAAGCTCAATAAAATTTTGGGATCACTTCGTTCTCGAGTAATGTAACCAACATAACCCCTATATTCTACGACAATCATGGGATGCTTGTGGTTTCAATTTTTTTTTAAATATTATTTATTAAAATAGTTGTATAAAAGTTATATTAGTAATTAGGACCTAAAAAAATCTACAAGTAACAAAATTGAAATGAATCAATTGTTTATGATTTTTTTTTTTTTTTGCAATTTCGAATTTCCGAAATTTGTTCCAATTTTTCAGTAGGTGAAATAAATTCTGCATCCGAACTAAATGTAGGATAAATGTATTTCCGATTAACTATTTTATTTGTATTCTATATTACTTCAGTGTTGTATTTTTAAAAATACCAGTACATTGTTAAGAATACCCACATCATAAAATCTTAAATCTTTGTTTAAGGCCTGAGGTAAATTTAAAGCAGGGAGATATTTAGGATATTGGTGTGGTAGGAAGAATTTGAGATTAAACAGAGAATGTTATACATTTGAAGAAAAATATAATACAATCATGGCATTACATAAAAACACAAAATCTTGTATTTCATAACAGCCTTAAATTTTTATACATTGCAGTTGTTGTAAGTACATCCCATAATATTTGGTACAATTAAAATTTTAAAATTCTATCAACTTTATTAAGTACTAGAAATGTAACTATTTTAAAATTTAATTTATGGTACAGGTACTTTTAATCTTTATTTTTCATCATTTAATAATATTGCGACATTACTTATTCTACGTATCACATTAGTACGTTTTTATATATTTTTCAAATCTATATTCGTAAGACTAGATCATTTTAAAAATGTTAACACTATGAAATATTTTAATAATTCATACTCGGCCTTGAATTGGCTGAACGAATCATTTTCATCAAACATAACTGATTGTGTCTTGTCGAAACAGATCATTCACACTTTTTTCAGCCAAAACAAATAATCGCTTGAATGAACATGTTTACAAATCACGCCCGAATAAATATCTTATATTAATTTTTTGACGAAATGAATACCAATAGTGAACAATAACACCGTTTGAAATCATTATATTGAGTTTACAAAATAAATTCAGTCTTTATGCACTACACTATGTCGGTCATCCAATGGAACTTCATTGTCCAAATTTCCGTCACATAAATATATCTTCCAGTGTCACCTCTTTCTTAGGAGCTGATACTTGGTCGTCTTCAAACGTGACCATTTTGTCACGGGATTTACTGACAGAGGATCTGAGTGCTGAGGGGGGCAGAGGGGGGATGGGATCGACGAGAACTGACAGATTGAATTCACTGACGCTACGCGGGACGAAGTATTCAATAAGAGGCTCCTGAGTTCTTGTTCCATGACCAGTGGAGTTGCGGACTGGCGTCGCCCTGGTGAAGTGGTTTGGGTACCGGAGTGGTTCCTTCCTCCTCGGTAAGCTGTAGTGCTTCAGCTCTGGTGGAATCTTCTTGAGCGTCAAGTCGCAGCCTGGCGATGGATCGTTGTGTCAAGAAGTCTTGACAGTTATTGACATTTCCTCTTCTTCCAGCTTTCCAGTCTTATGCCACCACAGTGACATCTTTTTTGCAATGATCACTGTCTCATCTTGAATCAAATTGAAACACATTGCAACGATTGCCATCCCTATAAGAATGAATGCTGATGACACAAATACCGATACCCCATTAGTCCCACTAGCAGCTCCTGGAATCAGTTCTCCAAACCCGATCGTTCCCAAACTTGTAAAACAGAAATATGACCCTTCGATGAATGTCCAGTTTTCTAATTTATTAAATATGAAAGCACCTCCTATAATATATACAATTACGATTAGGATCGTCAAAAAGATTGGTACTCGCTTTTTTGGAGGATTTTCGAATCCTATTTCTCGCTGCTTTTTACTTATGTGGTTTTCTAATGGTGCTTTGGATTGTAAAGCTGAAGATTCATTTTTGTTTAATTTACTTTTAGTTTTTGAGTTTCTTGATTGGGATAGTTTATAATAAAATTGACGAAAATGTTGAGCTAATGTATCACCGACTGTCGACAAGTAGACAAGCATTAAGGGAATACCGATCAGCGCGTAGGCAATTGTAATCAATCTTCCCCATGCTGTTCTTGGAGTTATACTTCCATAACCTGGAAAGAGAAATATATATTTTTATAGATTAATATTACCAAAAATTGAAGTATTTACTAACACATATAATTAAATATTTATCATTTTAATGGCTTAAAGTATGAACAATTTTTCATTGTTAAAATTAATTAAGAAAACTATTCATACTTTTTTTGTTAAATCATGCTTTTTTTTTTTTTTTTTTTTTTTTTTTTTTTTTTTTTTTTTTTTTTTTTTTTTTTTTTTTTTTTTTTTTTTTTTTTACTGCAAGTATGAAGACTATAATCAGTATATGATGTATATAGCAAAAACTAGGCATTAATCTAAGTTGTAGAGCTTAAAATCTATATATCTATTTTAATAGTTTTGGCCAAAAGTCGTCAAAATATTTTTTTTTTCTTCACTATCCTTCTATTAGGTTGTTGTTGGAGGGGTCAAACCACCTACACCCTTAAATGAAAGTCACTCATATTTAAAGGGCCAGGTAAAATCGGACAAAAGGATTCAACAAACCCGTAATTATAATAAAAGACAAATTTAAATAAAAAAATAAATGTGTTCCTTTTGCAAATAATTTTAACCTCATGGTAAATTGTGTAATTTTATTAATATAAAATAAATTAGCTGACTATTGGTCATGCATTGCGAAAATGAAGTTTGTTTAAAAATGATATAAATCTAGAGCAGACGCATGATAAGTAATTTAATTTTATTTGAAACCAAAATAATCTAATTTAAATTCTATTATGTACTGAATTATATTATATAAATTATATTATGTTAATAACAATGCATTTATATCAAGTTACCAAACGATGTGTTAAATTGAGATATTCTAATGTTCTATAGACTAATTATAATTTTTACAGTTTATACTTAAAAATGGCTCTATTGGCCAGTGATGCCGCTGAGTGAAAGACGCTGGGATCTCCTAGAGTCCTGCCTTTCCCTCCACGAATGAGGGGTAAGGCTTGGCTCGGAGACCTTGAGTAAATGAATATTGTAAATATAGTATAAAAGCATGTGTGTATTTAAGTAGTTATTTTGTTAGATTAGATTATTTTTGTTTAGTTTACATACATATACTTTTAGTATTATTATATTGCTGTTTATTTATTTTTATTTATTGTGCATAGTATGAATGAGCTACTCTTTATCACTATTACTATTGTCCTTAAAATTGACAGATTGTAATATATCTCAATAAATAAATTTCCTAAAAAAAAAAACAAACAACAAATCGCTCAAGTTAAAACGTCGGTAATAATAAAGGTATAGGAAAGAAAACGAAATTTTTTTGTGACCTTTGGCCTGAATCATTTAATCATTTAAATAATAATTAATAACACAACACAAAACATTAAAAATACAAATAGAAAATTAAATAAATAATTAAAATAAGGATAAGATTCATCTGTCCAATAAGAATAATTTGTATATGAATTAATGGTAAGTTAGTTTTATTAGTTTAATATAATTGTACATTATGAATAACAGTAAAACAATTTGTTGATGGCCTAACAATTTTTTTTAAAAATAAATTTTAGCTAATCATTATATTAAATTACGTATCTTATTCTGACGTATTTTAAATTCAAAAATAAATAATGTCCTTTATCAGGTTTATAAATAACATAATAAATTGTTTAAATAGTCATCAACATTACGTTCAACATAATCAACATTAGTATTGCGCATAACGTTTTGTTTTCGGAATCTCAAGAGATACGCAAATTACCCAGTATTACACCGAGTTGAAGTGGATTTATCCATAGTATCGCCGTCAGTACTTTCTAGCTACTTTTCTATAACAGATCATTAGAACTCATCGATCATCTTATATTTTTCACAGCTTACAATTTAAATACTCCATCCAATCCCGTCCCAATAGATCTCGTACTTCCGACCACTATCCCCCTCCTCACCGAACTACTTCATTTGTCAAATCATTTGCAATTCAAGCCGCCTCCTTCTGAAATTCCATCCCTGCTGATATTAGACACGCACAATCAGTATCCTCTTTCAAACCTCTCCTCTTTAAACACCTACTCCTTTCTCAATTCGTCTGATTATGAAATATACCTAAGAGAGCTATCTAAGTACCCCCAGAATATATTTCTGTTATTTTGGTCTTCTCTGTTTGTATTATGTACGCTTACTATGTGTACGCTTTTCCTGTATTTTTCTCTACATTCTTCTGTATTTTTACTTTTAAATAACTAATTTTTATCTAAATAACTAAATAAATAATTAGTTTTTAATTGTAATCATAAGTTATTTTAAGTAATTACCAACTTTTAACTATGAGTGAAATAAATATAAAAAAAATGAAGAGGGATTAATTAATAAAATAATTGGTTAATTAAAACAATATCTTTTTTTTTAAATATAAGAATGAAATAAGGCAAGCTTAGGCGTACTTTAGCAAGATTCCAGAAAATGGATGAATTATCATAACAATGATTTAAATATTTTTTTTTTTTTTTTTTTTTATTGAATAATAATACAATCAGCCACTGTTGGAGGGCTATAAGTATTAAGGCTAGAAGTTCTCATTCATACAGTATATACAAGTAATACAGAAGTAACTATAAATATAAGAAGTAAATAAATAATACTTATAAAAAAAAGTAAATCAATAGGAAAAAAAATAAATTAATAAATAAAATTTAAAAAAAAAAAATAAATAAACAAACAAAATAAAATAACAACTTCTAAACACATTCATACCTATATACAATATATACATTCGCCCAGGAATCTCCGAGCCAGGCTTCTCTCCCCACATGTGGAAAGCAAAGCAGGACTCCAGAGATCCCAGTGCCACTTTTCCAGCCGCATCACTAGTATTAAAAGCCAGTGGAGGCTGAAGGAGGGCACTAGAGCCACAGATGCTCAGGACTTGAGTGGAGAAGCTGGCCATTGCCAGGACTCCAGAAGCATATTTACAATAGATCTCGCGGCCACTGCCGTTTTAACCTTCGAGGGGGATTGTAGGGATGGTGGGAGCTGGATAGGGATTGAGCTAGAGGATTTGGATGATGGATAAGGTTCTGGTGAAAGTTTGAGAATCTGGATGGGATGATGTCGAGGACAAATGGGATGTTAAGGTCATGGTGTAGGATCTTATTTGTGACATAATATGGGGCATTGACTATTGTTCTAAGTACTTTGGACTGAAAGGATTGGATGCGTTTGATATTCGAATGTTTAGCAGTTCCCCACAGTTCAAGTCCGTAGGTCCAGATAGGTTTCAGTATTGTCTTGTAGATTAAAAGTTTATTTTCAATCGAAAGATGAGATGTCCTGCTTAGTAGTCTATATAGCTGGCCATATCGTTGGTTAAGTTCTTGTCTTTTAAGTCTTGTATGTGGGTTCCAAGTTAGTCTTTTGTCTAGAAGGAAGCCAAGGTAACGGACTGTATCTGAGTAGGGAAGTGGTATTGAATTGAAAAGGATTGTGGGACAGGATCTGCGTCGCAGGGTGAAAGTAATATGTTTGCATTTTGCTTCATTGATTTTGATGCGCCAGTTGTTGCACCATTGTTCAATCAAGGAGAGGTGAGATTGTAGGTTTAGAGATGCTATTTGAGGATCTGAGTGGGAAGATAGAATGGCAGTATCATCAGCAAATGTAGCTAGGAAGGTATCGGGATTTGAAGGGATATCGGCAGTGAAAAGAATGTAGAGAACTGGACCCAAAACACTGCCTTGTGGAACACCAGCCTCAACTGGATAGTAAGTGGAGAATTCGGTGCAGCAACGGACTTGGAAGGAACGATGATTTAAATATTAGCCATATTATTAAATTAAACTAATAAAACTAACTTGCTGGTTATTTTCCGTGCTACAGCCCACTTTTTTAAATTTAAAAACTTCTGGATGGCTTCATCTTACCGTAACCAACAATTTTTTAATCTTCGAAAATTTTAAGAAGTGGGGAGTTTTCTCATTAAATTAAATTTAATTCAATGAGGCACTAAAAACTCATAAATATCCATTTGCTTTCCATTTGAAACGTAAGATAATTTTATAATAGAATTGAAAAAAAGGAAAAAAAAAAAGGTGGCCTACAAAAATATTTAACCGTTTGGCCAATATAATCTCGTTATTATAACATGCGTAGTGGAGGTCACGCCAAAAAGCCAAATATTTTTGTAGGCCACCTTTTTTTTCTCGATAACGTGATCTAATTATTTTATGATTCAAGTGAAAAACAACTGGGTGTTCTTGAGTTTTCAGTACCTAATTTAATAGACAAGGTCTGCCGATCTCCAGATTGAAAACGTCCCTTAATAAAATAAGCATAAGCGTCATTGAATAGAGCACTCACTCATACAGCCATCGCTCAGACTTACTTAATGTGTCTGGCTGTTTAGTCTCGTTCCGACATTGTTTAAACCGGTAAAACGAAATTATACTAAAATCGTGCTTTGACATCTAAGTAAAGACTAAATTATTTCCAATAATTTGGAATATTGTTATTACTAAATAACAGGTTTTAATCACCTGATAAACAAATGAACGATATGCAATGACAGTAGTTGCTCGTCTGTTTGTCTAGTTCTGTGTGTTTTAGTGTGAGGCATCTTTCTACGGTCTAAAACGTTTTACGATTTAGTATTCTTCGAGTAGGAAAGTTTTCACGATATCTTCGGACAGCAGCAGCACCGTTTCTATGTATCTCGTCATAAGTTAAAAGCGTGTATGTTTGTTCTGCAAAAGTGAATAAATTTATGGTGTCTCCCATGATAATCATAAATTGAACTGTGTCACAGTATTCACTCACTCTAAAAGACACAGAACTAGACAAACAGATGAGCAACTACTGTCATTGCTTATCGTTCATTTGTTTATCAGTTGATTAAAACCTGTTATTTAGTATTAAACACGTTAAACTTTGTACAGTCAGTCTTAATGTAGTAAATAAATAATAAATCTTTAACCATTGATATCTGTTTAATAAATGAGTTTGAGATATATGTTAATATGAACTTTTTTGTTTATTTTGCGTTAGTGAACACATAAATAAAATAGTGCCGTGCAATTACGAAATAACCTATATAGAGGGTTAATATAATGAAAATATGAAATGTTGCATTATTGTTCGGACAACCCAATGTATACAGAAATTGTAAAATAAATTAAAATTATATCTTACTATATTTACCAACCTATTGTTGTTATCAAAGTAAGAGAGTACAGAAAAGCTGAAGAAAAGCTCCAATTGTAATTTCTTTGACCATTTCCTGAGAGCTTATGCCTGTCGACCAACAGATTCTGGAACTTGAGTACTTCTTGCTCTGCTAACCTAGTCCAATTGTCTTTGTACAAAATATTAAGGTCTTCAGTAATACTCCAAAGTTTCTCCACTGTCTGAGATCTAAGAGTATCGTGCTCGGTGCTCTTTGTATCTGCTTGCAGGTTAGACTTCCCTTCCAGCGCCATGAACGTTAGCGCTCCAAGGACAGTGTAGCCGACAACTAAGACACATATACCCAGGCTAGAAACTATCGATGATATTGATCTGAAAAATCAAACAAATCTTATTAATCGATTAAATATATTTTCCCATCGGGAACGTAACAGAAAAATAATAATGAATCGATCAAGGAATAAACAGTAATATACAATCAAATTTAATGTTTGATTTGAAAATTTGAATAAATTTTAATTTTGAACTTTAAGGTATAGATGTGAAAAATTAATTTCACGACAAATTATAAAACAATGTAAGTAAAAGAGGTGTCTTAAGTTTAAGATGTATATTAGATATTTCATACATTTGTAAAATTTAAATAAAATAATAATTAATAATGCTGGTTACTTATATTAGTCAAGGTTGGCGACCTGCATGACTGACCTAGTCATGCTCCCCTCCCTCTTCCACCTTAACTAAATCCACAAACTTTAACCCGATTTAGTTTGATTATTTTTCTATTAGGGCCGGCAAAAAAGGGCATAGGACCACTCAAATTTTAAAGCTACCCTACACGGTCTAGGTTTAATCACATTATTTATTTAATATTTTAATTAGATCCCAAATACTATGACGTAGATACTTTATTAATAAACTAAAAATAATTATTCTCAAACGGTTTGTACTTGTTTTTAATTCCAAGAAGAATGCATCTCCGTCGTATTAGCCCGGTACTGAAGGTTAGCGTAATACGATAACATTGTTCAATCCATGGGAGGAAGGAGAGGTAATGGAAAGCCAAACATAAAGGATTAGCTCTGTAATCAGTTTAAGACCAATATGTATTAATACAATTATTACCGATAAGGTTTATTGAACTTTTTGTAAATTACCGTATAGGACAGCGAAATATTCTGGGGCTGGCTCTCATTCGAGAAATATTGGAGGGGCCAAAAGTGTTGGCGTCTATTTAAACATTTACTTAGCCATCACAAACTCCATACAAATGTTTTTACACACATTTTCTCCGAAGTTAGCACCAATCCTGAATAAAAAAAAATGTCTAACTACTTCGTATTCATAAAGAAAAGATAAATTCGGGACAATATGACATATATGGCGCTTTCGCTGATTGCTTAAGTGTGTCTAATTTGAATAGCTCAAGAGAGCCGTACATCTGAGAATTCTCGATATAGGAGTATACAGTAAATTCATAACATAAACCATTTATTTATTTACTATTCAAGCGAAAAATTGTTTAAACAATCATAATAGCAAGATGCACAAAATCTCAGTTTTGAAAAGCTACTGAAGACTTCTACTATTAATTTTCAATAGTGTATTGACGACACAGGAATTGGGTTAGCGCAGTGGTAGAGCGCTGAGCTTCCAATGCACTAGATCCCAGGTTCGAATCCCGACTCATGGCAGAAAAATTATTTACTCTGTTTCATCTGCCGTGCGGGGCAGCCCTGGGATTAGGAGACTCTCCTGGGCACTCCCAGTCTCTACAAAGCAGGCACCCTTAATTAAAAGTAAGGGGAAAACCTCGATATCGATTAAATCACCTACTTGCACAACCGTTGACCAAGAAACAGTACTTTTTTCAAATAGCACTGAACCCAAGCCTCTTAATAGGTTTTAGTGATACAGGTGTTGATGATATAATGTAAAATACGAAAACAACATGTTTTGGCATTAAAAAAAAAAAAAAATAAATAAATAAGGAAAGGAAATGTGAATATGTAGGTGTGTTCTTTACTACTTAAAGAGGTTTTAAAATGAGAACCACACGTTTGATCAATACTTCCTCGTTAATATTTCAATAGCGATGAGATATTAATGAGAAATCTTACTTTTTTTGGCAAAGCTTTGGAGGAATTTGCGAGTTGTTTCCGGGACAATATGTTGTGGTACTGCCCACTGGAAATTGATAGTTCCTTAGTTCACTGCCTAGCATCCTACCTGGAAAAAAGGTCTAATTAATAAAATTTACTAATTAGTCAAATTAGTTTTTATAATTACAAAAATGTACTTATCATTATATTAGATCTAATATTTTGTAGGCCCCAATAGCCATTATTTACAACAATAATGAAATGTCTTAGCTATAATAAAGTCTTAGATATAAGTCTTTAGATATACATATGAAGTCTAAGATAATCTCTTAAATATATAAAATCTAATCCTAGAATGAAGAGAAGAATAGTTGGGGTGGTCAGTCAAAAAGGAAGGCAAAAATAAATGATAATATTTATTTTTTACATATGCCGACGTTTCGACCTGAAGTTCAGGCCTTCATCAGGGCTAAGAAAATAACCAGATAACAATATATGAGAAACATAAGTAATGATGGTAAAAAAGATAATAAAAAATAAATAAAAAAAAATTAGAAAAATAAAATAGATAAATATAAAGTAAAATGAAATTGTTAGAATAATGACTAAGAACTAAGAGATAAATAATAAAAACCGTTACAAAGTGTGGAATGATGAAGTAGGCATAATCATAAAGGGTGACAAAAGTGTTACAATGGGAATCTTAGAATAAAATGTAAAACATAAAAAAGAAATATGAAGTTATATAAGTAATGAAAATAAATAGTAAAATTAAAACATTGAGAATGGAGTAGTTAGATAGAAAATTGAGATATTGTAAAGTTTAGTTAAAGTCAATTTTCTATCTAACTACTCCATTCTCAATGTTTTATTACTTATATAACTTCATATTTCTTTTTTATGTTTTACATTTTATTCTATGATTCCCATTGTAACACTTTTGTCACCCTTTATGATTATGCCTACTTCATCATTCCACACTTTGTAACGGTTTTTATTATTTATCTCTTAGTTCTTAGTCATTATTCTAACAATTTCATTTATCTATTTTATTTTTCTAATTTTTTTATTTATTTTTTATTATCTTTTTTACCATCATTACTTATGTTTCTCATATCTTGTTATCTGGTTATTTTCTTAGCCCTGATGAAGGCCTGAACTTCAGGTCGAAACGTCGGCATATGTAAAAAATAAATACTATCATTTATTTTTGCCTTCCTTTTTGACTGACCACCCCAACTATTCTTCTCTTCATTATCCATGACAGTCAACCAATTACCAATTATAATCCTAGAATGCTATGTTCCATAACCTATTCTGAAATGTTTAGTTATGATACTAATAGTCCTTGGTGGCAGACCCCTCTTCATCAAATTATTAACATCCGCCTAAAACTTCGTAAATAGCTCCATCTCATCGCTTGTATAATCTCGTTATTTTGACATTTCGGGGGTGGAGGTCACACCAAATGGATCAATATTTATGCAGGCCACCTTTTATTTCGGCTTCTTGATCATATTATCTTACTATTCAATTGGAAATAAAATGGGTATTCGTGAACACCTAATTAAATAGACAAAGTTTGTCGATCTCCAGATTGAAAACGCCTCAATTCCGAGAATTTTCTTAAATAAAATATTTGTAAATTACGATTAGAGATGAAGCTATTTACGAAGTTTAAGTGGGGTGTTAATAATTGAAAATAAAAATTATTTTATTAAGTCTGTATCACGGACTATAATAAACTAATTTAGTTTCCACATTTGATCTGTAAACAATGTAAAGCCATTTAAGTAAAGTGATTATTTTCGTTATGAAAAGGTCGAAGATTAATACTAATAAAAGTTTCAATGTGTTTTCACGCTCCATGATGTAATTGGCTTCGAGCCAAGTGGATGAGGTAACTCAACTCAACTGAGAATTAATTTATCCTGTCGGAGCTGCCAGAGAAAATATAACCGAAAATTATTGCGATTGTTTCACAGACTCCTTTAATCGATTCCTTGTGTTTTCTCTCATAATTCTGTTTCAAGGTGAATATTCCACAACTTCAGTATTAGTTACTTACTAGGAAATCAAATAAAAAAAATTTTAAAAAAATGTTAAATTAATTATGTATATATTTTAATTATTTTTTAAAGTGTTAAAATATATTATAAATATTTTATCATGGGTGGTAAATATTCAGGACCCAGTCTTTTTAAAAAAAATTGTTAATTTTTTATTTGTGCCATTTCAACACAAACATGTGGGTCATCTTCAGGGCTAAAAAATTTAAAATACGATATAATATTATACGACCGATAATAATCAAATCATGTATTTAATAATTTAATGATGATGTATGTTTTGTAGGAGATGTATTGTATGAGGATTCTATACTTTTACATTGTCTATATTCCTCAGAAAACAGACCATTCCACTCGCATCAAACTCGTATTAATTATTTCATGTCCTTTACAAATTAAATTAACGATGGTCATAAATTTTACTTACTTTTAAAAGTCACGACACCAAGTCTAATATTTTTATGTAAAGAAGACTGCATCCCGCTTCATTAATTTTATGACAGACCTTTGTTACGTCATAAATATTTTTATAATAATTTTGCGGCCATTTTGTAAATTTTATATAAATTGACTGAACTTTTAAACTCAAACTAAATTATAAAATATTTAAAAAAGCATTGAAGGAAACTAGTCGACTGTTCTACATATATCATGGGTAATAAATATTCAGGACGCACTCTTTTTTAAAAAAAAAAATTAATTTTTTATTTGTGCCAACGTTTCAACCCAAACATGTGGGTCAACTTCAGGGCTAAACATTTTTAAATTTTCAAACATTTAAAAATTTGTAATATTTTCTCTTACTAACCGTGGTTCGAGCACTGAATGCTTTCAAGTACTACAGTCTGCCACACTGAAGGGCATTGGTACTAGGGCTATAGTAAGTTGGAAAATGTTCTGTTGCTTCATCTTTGTCGAGTCACTGTCCAGAAAGTCTACTGTTATCATAAAGTATCCACTTTTCATCACAAGTAAAAATTCTGAAGAGAAAAGAGTCGCTTCTTTTTGTTTCGGCAAAGAAGTGTAATATAAACCTTAATAACGCTGTTTATTTTGGCAGTCGTTTAATGTGTGTGGAACCTAACTTTCAAGTTTTTTTCCCTTTCCAATCGTCTTGAGGAGGTCATCGAGGGTCGATTTGCTAAGATTAAGTCTCTCAGGAAGTTCACGAACAGTTGATCTGGGGTTTTCTTCCACCAAAGCCCGCAGAACATCGTTTTTTTTTTTTTTTTAACCACCTTTGAACAGTGCACTCATCTCTCTGCTGCTCTCGCCCCAGACTTGATTGATTTTTCTGGACGTCTGGGACCCATTCCGGCCGAGTTTAAACTCGTAAAACAAAATTATACGAAAATTACCTGTTGACTTCTTAGTAAAGATTGAATTATTTTTAAGAAGCGAAATGCTACAGAGGTAAACAAACATTATCATTTTAAAGAGGATTAATAGGCGTTGACATTCAGACAATTGAATAATCCAGTAAATGTAAATAGTTTGTTATATCGAGGTGTATTTAAAAAAAAAACTCAATGGCCTCTCGTTGGAGCTTGAGGACAGACTGAAGAAAATCATGAACTGTTCTTTAAGATTTGTCTTCGGCACTTCGAGATGGTCTCATGTGTCCCACCTATATTCCGAGTCAAAGTGGCTCTTCCCCTCTTCTCGCCGCCTATACTTCCTTGGAAATTTCTTATATCAAACGATCAACTCCCAGCACCCTTCCTATATCTACTGTCTCCTCAAGCCGAAACCTTTAGTCCAATCAATAAAAACGAGATCCCGTGATTCTGACCTCTATATTCCATCACACAAGACAAAAACCTATGAACGTTCCTTCTTAGCCCGCTCCGTCACCTATTGGAATTCTTTGCCATATAAAATCCGTCATGCCTCTTCACTGTCAACCTTTAAATACCTCCTTTTCCAATATCTCCTCACATCCCAAACAGACGTTCGCAACCATAAATTTCATTTTATGAACTGAATTTGTGAGAAGTAAATGGTGGTGCCTACAGTTTAAGTTTTAACATAAAACAGCAATGATTTTTTACTGTTATTTTTACTATTTATTTGTATTTCTCTTCACCTCAGGTTGTGATTTTTCATTCATGTATATATAAGTTTATATTTTATACTTTTTGTCTCACTGTGTAGCAATATGAGTAAGTACGTATATATAGTTCCTTTTTTACCTTTATACCACAATTATTCCTGAGATTTTATTTTATCTTAGTGTTTGCTTGTTATTTTATGAATCACTGTAAATATTATTACATTTTGTATTAAATTATGTTTCTATTAGATAGCTATTATTTATAACTTGTGCAGTTATGTATATATAGATATGTAATTTCTTTTCTGTCTTTTTTTTTTTATCGTAATAATAAGTAAATTTGGAGAAGATTGTATGTTCATTTATGTACGTATGTATGTGTATGTATGTATATATATGTTTATGTGTGTGTATGTATATATATGTGCGTGTGTTTACATATGTGTATATTTTTTTTTTTTTGTTTATTTCTAAGTGGTTACATACTACTTTTTAAATAATGTATATTACGTTAGAATTTTTTTAAGTTAGTTTTTGGCCAGATTGGTATTTTATTTTTTATTAATTCATCTTTGTTATTCTAAGGGGACTTAGTCCAAAAATAAAGTTCTATTTTCTATTCTATTCTATTCTATTCTATTACAGAGTGGACAACCCGATATTTTCGTGTAATTACATTTAATAGGCCTTCAAGAATCACTTACACACCATTTCATATATTTTTTTCTTTTTATTCTAAAGTAATTATCGTTATATATATAAAAGGTATGGAAGGGAAGCTCCCTGTCAAAAAATAAAATAAAATAAACTCTGGATCCGTTAGTGATTGGGAGAAAAAACAAAAGTTAAAATTTGGAAGTTTGACTGAATTAGTGACTGACTAGCATCCTTTTCCCATCACTCCCAGCAATTTTTAACTTAGCCAGAGCATTAATAATGCCCTGATGTGAGATAATAGGAGAAGGAATGAAAATAATCTTTTTATATTTAGATCTGGTTTGCCGGTATTTTTTTTTAAAACCTAACGGTATGTGCTGGTCAGAATTAGGCACTTCTAGTGAATCTTAAGACAGCTGGAACATCGGTTTTATAAATAAACATATTCGTTACGATGTTTCAAACAATTGCAAATAATTTTGGTCTATTTCGCGAATCGCCCGAATTCGCCCTAAAAAAATAGATAGACTATATCGTTAACAAAGGTTTGAACTTCTAAAAACAGTTTTCAGACCTTGCACTAACCAACCACACCGGAAGTTAGTGAGGATTTAACACGCGGAAACGTTGAATTTAGAGTGACTACCATGTTTTTTTTTAATTGCGTATTCGAGTTACCATCGACTCAGTGTTTTCACTAAATAACATCTAATTGTCTATACTGACCAAATTATAAACACATCACGAATTGAATAGCTAAGTTTTAAAAAATTATAATAAATAAAAAAATATTTTTTTATTATTATATTAATGTAACTTCATATATTTGCATATGTCGGTATGAAATAGGTAGTAAATTATACAATATCTGAACAATGTAATGTTTACAATAAAAAGTACAAGACATGAATTTTAAACAATCTATTGATACCTGCCGCAAATATTTTTACAATGTTTATTTTACGTGAAATACTAATACTTTCAATACTCTTATTATTTATCATAAAATACCTGATATAAATAGAACTTAAAAAAAATATATATATTTTGTTCATAGAATAAAATAAGTTTTAAAGAATAAAAATGAAAATAGAATGTTTATAACGTGTTAAAATGTTGTTAACTTTTAAATAAATACAATATTTTACTTTTGATAGTCTAAGAAAAAAATTGAGCAAGTAAATCAGTTGATAGATTGAACGTTTCTAGTTTTTATTGATCTATCTAGTCAATGATTGATCGTAGCAGAGTAATATTTAAAAATCCGTTTATCAATTCCGATTCCCATCATATCAAGTTTAGGAACTGATTAAATATACAATATCGCAGGAAGCGAAAAGTTTGCGTTTTAAAAGTGTATTAGAAAGCGAGTTGAAAATTATTTTTATGAAATTCCGATATGTATATATATATATATATATATATATATATATATATATATATATATATATATATATATATTATTTTTAAACATAAATTATTTTATTTGATCTATAGCTATTTATACTACAATAGAAGATTCTAGTGGTACAACAGTGATATTTCATTTTTACTCACGTAAATTTTAATCTGAATAAATATTACCAAGATAAAATGAAAATAATTATTTTGCTTTTAATGCATGCATCTGGACGATAAAATGGCTTGAGATTAAATTCAATTTTTTAACAATATATTGCAATTTCTGAGAAAGTTAAAGCCGATGTCCAAGAAACCATACGTTCGCTCCAGAGTTGGCCGCCAAGAAATAAATATTAACCGTCCGAAGAGGGATTCGAATTTACAACGTTTAGAACCGATCATTCTGAGGCCCATTTCACCCTCTTATCTCTGTCCCAACCATGGTGTGTGTCAAGAATTATTTAAATTAACTGAATTTGTTTTTGTTTGCTTCTCCTCTACATCGCCTTTTACATGGTGGGTTTTCCCGGGCCAGAGAGTGAGGGCGAGGGATTAATGCCAGAGTTAAAAGACGCTCTGGGCACTCTGACGCGAACTCGTAATTTTACTCCAACTTCGGTTATCAGGAATCGAACATATCACCCATAGATTGATGCTAGTAGGGTGAACAGATAGTTTTGCCCTGAAGATAGTTCTTCATGCTTGGGCCGAAATGTCGGAAACTGGAATAAAACAATTTTCACTGAAAATCCATTCCATACATTTTCCTAGATGATTGAATTGTTCTTGATTTTGGAGTAAGATTGATTTTTTTAAAATTTATTTATTGAGTAAAATAACATTCTGTCAATTTGACAATATGGAATAAGATTAAAGAATTTGAAAAGAAATATAGAGAACCTTCATGGACCTCTTTTTTTGTGGTAGAAAATCCGTTGATACATTTTTAATGCGATTGTTGATTAGAAGCTATTTTTTATTGAAATTAAATCCTGTTTACTTCTCCATGGTCCAATTACATTTAATTCAGAAATAGCGGTATTATATTTTAAGCTGGTGGGCCAGGAAAACGGCTCAAGAACACCTATAATGATAGATGTTGGACCGAGTGGTCCTTTTTTACCGATCACAGGAGGCTACCCATACATTTTGTCTTAGTCCTAACCATGGATTATGAGTCCATACTTATTTTGCAACAATTTTACAAAAATAATATTAACTAAACCAGACAGGAATCGAACACATCACCCCTAAATGCTGGGTTACTACATCCTCCGTTTTCCTCAAAGAGTCTCTACCAGTATTCCCTATCCTTAGCTACATCGGTCCACCAATGTGTGTGAAAATGTTGCCTTGGATCTCCTGATACTCCAAACTATCGATTTGATCCTTAGTTGACCTATACTTTTCGCTCTAACAACCTCTGCCGTCATAATTTTATTAAGTGCTTCTAAGATACTCCAGAGCTGTCAATGAAACGCAACTGAATTTCATGTTTTAATTTTTCTTCAAAGTATACAACTATTAAGAGTCTAAATATTTTTAATTTATACCCTAGCAAGCGTTTTTTAAATCAGATTTTAACAAGATCCAACTTTCAGTTCCGTTAGCGAGTTCCGTTATTATACTATCGGGCATTTTTTTCCTGAAGAAATTCCAAATTATACGATCAAACATTTTAAAACCTTTAAATGTACTTATCTTAATAATTCTTTTTAATCTAGCCCTGGGAGTGGTTATTCGTTCAATTCGAACAAATCCAGGAGCTATCTACAATCGTTTGTTTCAACATCTGTCATATGCTGATGATGTTGCCGTCACCTCTAGAACCCAAGCAGCATTATCAGGAATTTTCCAGGAATTCGAAGAGGCAGCGGTTAGACTGGACCTTAGAGTTAATAGAATCAAGAAGGTGTGCATGACAAGTTCCAAAATGGAAAAGGAAGTGAATACGGAAATAGCTTTAAGGGATCAGAATTTTATGTCTGTTGACCAGTTCAAGTAGCTTGGAAGCCTGGTCACATGCAACAACAAAATAGAGAGTGAAATAAAGGTCAGGATAGCAGCAGGAAATAAATGCTATCTCTCACTGTAAAGTTACTTAAAATCATAGGAAGGCCAGTGGTTATGTAAGGGTGTGAGACTTGGAGTTTGTCCAAAAACTCAGAACGTTTGCTAAACTCCTGAGTGAGAAAAGTGTTGAGAAGAATATGGGATGGAATTTCTGCGAATGGAATTTGGGAAGAGGAAAGAATGAGGAGCTGCGGGAACTTTATGGAGAACCGGGTATTGTGGCATTGATAAAAAGAGCCAGGATAAGATGGTTATGCCATGTTGAAAGAATCCGACCAAAGAATGCCAAAGAGGATGCTGTATGATAAGCCGGATGGCAAAAGAAGTCTAGGACGCCCTAGGATGAGATGGCTGGAGGATGTGGAAGACAGTCTGAGGCGGATGGGCGTAGATAGAGGGAAATAGCACAAGACAGTGGAGATTGGTTGGCTGTAGTGGATGAGGCCCTGGTTTTTGCAGGGCCGTAGCGCCATTATAGTAATAAATGTACTTAAAAATAATAATAATAATAATATTCTAAGATAAAATGGTGTGAGAAGAATACTATCGTATCTCCATGAAAGAAAATAGTTTTTCATTTTAGCGTTGATATGAATAATACAAAAATTTCTTAAAAGCTTAAATGTAGCAAATAAAAATTAATGAATAAATCCCATTAGCCAGCCAAGTTATGCTCATAAAAGCACTTCATGACTCAGTGCCAACCAATTGAAACAAAATGGAAAAAAAAAAATTACCTATTTCTAGATGTGGTAGAACTGAGTTGTCAGTCTGGCAAGTTGGCGACCTCGTGGTATCAAAAACCCTATAATAGTGGAAGAAGAAAAAATCAGCTATCTGTTCCAAACTTATAATTATGCATATATTGATTTCAACATTTTATATTAAAAACATACAAAAATTACGATGAGTAAAAATAGATAAATATGTATTTCGAGAAGAAGGATTCTATTAAATAACAGGCAACAAAAAATCCACGTATTTCGAAAGACATGTGATTGATATTTGAAATTTTTTTAAAGCTCAGGTTTCAGTTTGTTAGGAAATAGTTAGAGGGGTCAGGGGAAACATAATAAAACTCCATTTTCAAAATATTTCAGGAGAGCAAAAAACACTTTAGCTTTATTTCAATTTTTATTTTTCACAGGTCAACAGTACACCGATAATGTTTACACTTCCAATCCCTATCTTGGAATGACGACGTTTCGGCTCATCGGGCCATTTTCAAGTCTATCATGTCCTCGTTCATTGCATTTGTTATTTTAAAAACACGTGTATGCTTATAACAACTAGTTGTCATGATCGCCTTACCCTTTTATGAGTCAACTCCCATGTTATCAGTTTCATTGTTACTGAGCTCATTTTTTATTAATCTTACTACGGAGAAATTTACATTTACTGTTAAAACATTGGTCGTGTTACGAAACTGGCTATTTAATCCTCTGGGAACTACTATATCATTTATTATAAAAGTAAGAAGAAGAAAATTCTATTTATGTAATTACAAATAGACCAGTCAATGAATGATTATAGAAGGAAATGGTGAGGAATTGACAATTTTTAACTTAGGAACATTGTTTGGGCTAGTTTGACCAAGGCCGCTTAACTGTTGCAAGACCAAGACCAGGACTGGTAAAAAAAAAACGATTTTTTGAATAAAAATTAAAGCAAAATACTTATTAATACTTGACAATATAAGTTACTATAGTAAATAATTGGTATAACCAATATACTTTTGCATTTAACACCTCTAGTTTTTCATTCGGGCTTAGTTAGGATTGCCCTATATAAAAAATTACAGTAATAAGCTAATGAGTAACAGCAAGACTGTTGCGAGACTCTTGCGTAAGACCAAGACCATGACCAAGACTGAGTTTACAAGACCGTCTCGGTTTCGTATTTGGGCAACACTAAGGAAAACTACCCATCGCATCGACAAATTGATATAATTGATTATATACCTTTTATCGCTACCTCGCTTTGTTTCCGTGATATGCGCCCTCAGCTTTGCTAATTTTGAAAATAAAATATTTTCCACATGTTTATTACTGTATTTCGGGTTTTAGCTTGTATCAGGAAAACTATCCATGGCATCGACGAATACGTTTTTTACAAAATTAAAGCTGATAAAATTTGCAATATGATTGATTATATATTTATTTTCGCTGCCTCGCTTTGTTTCTAAAATAACCGTCCTCAACTATCGCTAATTTGGATAAAATAAAAATTTACCTTATGTTTTTTTACAGTATTTGACTAGCTGACTCTTATTTCACTGCTTAAGAGCTTTCACGAGAGATTTCACTGCTGATTGTTACTAAGCTCACTTATGTCATTTCAAACATCTCCTACCATCCATACGTGGATCAACGCCAATGACAGAATGTTATACTACTCAATAAAATAGTTTCAAATTCAAATCATTAAGTAACACTGTTACTTAATGATGTAACACTGTTACTGTTACTGTAACAGTACCCCTCTCAACGACGATTAAAATTATATCATATTAGTCAAAAACAGAAATCTCATTTTCTTCGTTTATGTATGAACCACTTCCGCGAGTATTAACAACAAAACTGTACAGAGTGCAACTGGATTGAAAAGAGAAACTTTGAGAATCACCAGATTGTCAGGGAAAATATCGCCCATTTAGTTTTTGCCCTGTGATATTTTTTACCATCAACTACTACTAGGTTGTTACGAATTTCCTTGTGCATGAACACAACGCTTAATTCTACCCAGGTGTGCCCATCCTCCAAAAGGTTAATGGCGCAAGAACGTACCTCCTCTCCTCTCAAGATATTTTATTGCTTATTTTCTTAAAAACAGAGCAAGGGAAACTAGAACTAGAAAAAGTCATAGATCATAAAAAATTACACTTGCTGCAGGTCGTTTCCATGTTTTCTCCTTGTCCCTTATTCTGAAACTTTTCATTCCGAAAATTCATAACTCCTTTGAAATGCGTCCCCATCAAAAATTCAAAAACGATATAAAATATGCTCCGTCAAAAATTTTGATGGCGTAACTTGCGCCATAAAGCCCTCTTCTATGCATCCCTGATTCTGCCTCTCATAATTAATCCTATAAGAATGTTTTTGTTCCTACTATTTATGTCAAATTTTACTTTGACTATTCCTTTAATTCCTTTATGGGGTCATTTTCTTTTTTAAAATACACGTGCAATAACAAAAAAGAGAAAATCGTGATTCGAGGTCTTTTGAGGAATTACTGGAAAACAGATCTAAGCGCAAAGACAACCTCCGAAATAATTTGTACCATAGAAGGAGAGTCAGTTATCTATCGGAATACTGCCGCATTTTGGTTCGGGCGTTTCGACAATGGAAATATGAACCTTCAATACTTCGATGCAGGGGTGCCCATCCCTCCCTCCCCCCGCCCCAAGGTCGATGGCGCAAGAACCTACCCCTCCTCCTCCCAAGATATTTTATTGCTCACCTTTTCTTAAAAACAGAGCAAGCTAAGATACATTTAGAAAAGTAGTAGATCATATACAATTACACTTGCTGCGGTATGTTCCATGTTTTTCCCCTTGTCCCTTAGTCCAAAAATCCATCAATCCATCAATCAATCCCGTCAAAATATGCTCCCCCCCCAAAAAAAATTCTTGTGGCGCAACTTACACCATGAAACCCCCTTCTGGGTATCCCTGGTTATTTTGATTAGTTTAGTTTGTTTTTGTTTATATACATTTACTTTTAGTATTATTACTTTGCTGTTTTTATTATTTTGCTGGTTAATTTGTTTTTATTTTAATGTCTATTTACACTTAAAATTATGCCTCCCAGGTCAGAATAATAAAAACCAAAATTAACTTTGTTGGTCAAATAATAACTTGGTCAGGCATTTTCAATACTATGGAAAATTGTTTTTATTTATTGTATATAGGGTGTGAATGAGCTACTCTGTAACTATTATTATTATCCCAAATCGTAATAAAATAAATATTACTCAATAAAGAAATGCGTGTGAGACAAAAAAAAAAATACGGTGTGAAATGATGTGACATTTTTAATGAATCTGTTTATGCATATAGTATATTGACCAACTTATTGTATATTTATACTTTTTATAGCTTTTGTCTCCCAGATCGGAATAAAACAAGTTATAATTAACTTCTGATTATCTCCACTGGGTATTGGCCCAGTGAAGCGGTTGATAGAGACGTGGAGGGATCTCCTGGAGTCATTCTTTTCCCTCCACAGTTGGAGGAACAAGTCTGGCTCGGAGTTCTCTCGCCTGACTGTAAATAGTGTATATGGGTATGTATGAGTTCTTTTTCATTTATTTTTATGTTATTTTATTCTTATTTATTGTATATATCTTATTTTTCTGTATAATTTATTTTTATTTATTGTACATAGAGTGTGAATGTGATATCGGAACACTATTATAAATGTCCTTTTAGACAGATTGTAATATTTTTTAATAAAAAAGTTTAAAAAAAAAACAAAAAAAAAACATATGATTATTTAGATGTACACTTTACGCATTATTTATAATAATGGTTTACAGAACTTTCTAATGTATTTATCGTTATATTGGTGAATCCAAAGATTTAAAAATAAGTTTGTTTTTTTTTTTGTTTTTTTTTAACTTTCTTTCTTGAATATTAATACATTCTGCCACATTGAAAGGCATTAATATTAAGGCTACATGATTCATTCACACAATATGTACATACAATTAATATCAATAATAAAGAAAAAGAAATATAAAAAAAATAAAATAAGTAAATTGGTATGCCTGTGTACAAAAAAAATAATGATATAATAGATAAAAGCTAGATGAAATTAAAGTAATAAAAAAAAATAAGTTAAAATTAAAAACTATGAACAATAAAAAGCTTTTAGAGACAACTTTTTTGTATTTTTTTCTCGACTAGTGCTTACAAACAGTAGCTGTATATACATTTTAATTTTAAAAAATAATATAATTTGATTATTGGAGTGTTTAGCTTAGATCATTCATAAAAAAAAAAATATATGAACCAACAAAAATAAATCAATTTTCCATTTTGAAAATTATTTCCTCTTCCCTCCCCCCTCCACCTCCCTCCAGTAGATCCGCGAATAATAGGGGCCGTACTTGACAGATTTTTTTTCTGGAGTAGTTTATTTTCTAACTCATATAAAATAACAAAATTAGGCCATTCGAATGCTTACCGATTAGAATTATTACTTATTCTGCTAATGTTTTCGTTTTGGTTTCCATTGCATGTTGAGCACGTGACACGGACAGGAGAGCGGAATTAGACTACTTTGGACCTAGCATCCCACGATCCTTGGTCGGGTAACAAGGGAAATGAGATTAACTGCTAGGGCTCATCACTCTTCTACCATTATCCCACAGGCCCGCAGCGATACTCTAGCTTATATTCTGTCTGGGCTCCAGGCGGATCTACGGGAGGGGGGTATGGTTTCAGGCTGGAGCCTCCTCCAAAATATTAAAATGTAACCATGTTTTATGGTAAAACAAATTTTAAAAATTTCTCTTAAAAGTATTATTGCTTAAGGAATTACTTTTAATAAGACTTCAAGAATTACTTAGACATCATTTCATATAGGTAGTTAGTATCTTTCTTTTTTTTCCCAAAGTAATTATCGCTATATGTATGAAAAAAAAATCTTTAGGGCTGAACCTCTATCCCAAAGTTAAATCCTGAGCAAACTAATTTTGCAAAAGAATCTCGAAGCGAAAATTATAGTAAATAATGTAATCGCTAAAAAAAAAAAAAAAAAAAAAAAAAAAAAAAAAAAAAAAAAAAAAAAAAATCTTTATTCTGCCCCTGATATAAATTTTTAAGTACGATAAATTTATTTATGGGGATCACAATATTTGATTTTTTATTTTTATTTTTTATTCGTTGATATTTACAACTGCATTACAAATAGAAGTATATCTAGTAAATGTAGTAGTAGACCCACTCAGGAATATAATAACTTGAAATCGCTTGTTAAGAAACTACCCACTGGTAGCACTCAAATAATAAATTTACACAAGAAGATCAAGAAGCCACTATGGCCATTATGAATGATTTTCTTTGTGACAAAGTAAGGAGCGTTGAGGATTTTGGATTGTAAGAATTGGATTCGAGAGGAATTCGATGGTTTAGTGGAGCCCCAAACCTCAATTCCGTATCTCCAAATAGGTCTTATTATTATCATATATATGAGTCGTTTGTAATTGATTTAAAGCTTAGAGCGTTTGTCTATTAAGTGCTGGAGTAGTCGGAAACATCGAGCGGTTTCTTGTCGCTTCAGTCTTGTATAAGGATTCCATGTGAGTCATTTGTTCAGATGAAGTCCTAGGTAACGGATTTGTTTAACTGGGATAAATGGGGAATTGTTAAAGGATATTGTAGGACAGGAGGTCATAGGTTTGCGACGCAGGGTAAAGGATTTATTGGAATTTATTTTAATTCTCCAATTTTTACACCATTCTTCAAGGTTTGTGATATGTGATTGGAAGGTTTGGGATGCAGTTGATGGATCATTATTAACAGATATGATACATGTGTCATCAGTATACGTGGTGATGACAGTTTCAAGGTGGGTTGTGTTGTCAGCTGTGTAAACTGTGTAAAGGATAGGACCAAGAATACTACCTTGAGGAACACCAGCAGACTGGGAAAAAAAGGATGAATACGATTAGGTGTGATTTACTTTAAAGCATCTGTCAGTAAGGTAGGAAAGATAATGAGGAAATATGTAGGTGGTAGGAATTCACGGAGTTTGTACATCAGTTCCGGGTGCCAGATCCATATTTTTATTTTAAAAAATAATTGTGATTCTAATTAATTGTCATACCATTTAATGCTTCAGAAATTATAATGTTATCCCTTAAATTCTATCTTCAGAAGTTTGAGTATTAATATATACTTTTTATTTCCCGATCGGCTTTGTGGAATGGGCGTACACAGGGGAGAGTAAGGGGGGAGGGGGCGTTGCCCTCCCTAAAAATGTGAAAGAAAATAAAACATAAAATAATATCAAATATTTTCCGAAACCCAAGAAAAATTTTTCTTTTTAAATTGTTATTGTGTGTATATGTAGTGTTTCATATAAAAGGGCATCATTTCTTAACACAACATGAGGTAAATCTCAAATAGTTTCCAAATAAAACTCAACTTAATCAACATGGACTTGAAGCTTATTAAACGAGAAAGTTTCTGTAAAAGTGGAGTAAATGTAGTACAGGTTAAGGGCGATAAAAAAAAATCACGAATAATTTATGGCTTTTTTTTCAACGAAACTTAGCTGCGTTTAGCCGCTTAAAAGTCCTCTTTTTAGTTTTAACAATGACGAATTCTACTTTCTTTTAAAGAAAATGTTGTCTAGTTTACTATGAAGTCCAATTACTTAAACTAAATATTTTATAAATTGTCGCTTCCTATTCAACAAAAAACGTAAATCGTTTAAAAAAACACAAATCTTGAATTTCCTACTTTTCTGCTGGAAATTGTTTTAATCGTTTTATGATCTAATACCTAATGAAAATACAAATAAATATGTTTATTGATAATACAACTTGAAAGATTGTCGGTAAAAATAAAGATCTTATGAATGATACTTGCTTATTCATTTATCATCGCAGCAATAATTCAGTATTAAGATTTCATTCTATTTTCTTTCTTTCAATTGAAGCTCATATTTCATTTTATTCAATGAGTAATTTGAGATGATAATAAACTTCGTACAGTCATCTCTCAAGGTTACGGACAACGTAATAATGGCTAATCGCATAAAAAAATATTCTCAATAAATTTAATTGTAGAAATTTTCAAGATTAATTAACACATTGATACAATTCAAATAATACATTAATATATTAATACAATACATTAATACACCCCCAAGAGCTACCTGAAGTCTGAATACTAGTACAGTTTGCGATAAAATAAAAATGATGAAACTTGTAAAACGTCGTGCATTAATGGGATAGAAGAAGAATAAATACATTTTGATCAATATTATTTGCAATGCCAGATGAACAGTATTTTTTTATAATTTATACTTGAAGCGATAGTCAAAGGGAAGATAACATTTCATTTTTTTAATTAGATTCAAGCTGCTTGCAGATAAATGGAAAGAAATAGTCCAAGACATGCAGAGATGGAGCAGGCTTGTTAAATCGGCATTAGATCTACATCGTCCGTAATTAAAAAAAAAAAAAAACTGTACCATTGCAACCCATGAAGGGTCTTGGTTTCAGTACTATTTAAAAAAGCACTGTTTCTTGGTCAACGGTTGTGCAAGGGTGTGATTTGACCAAGATCACGCTCAACAGCCAGGTTTTTCCTCTTAATTAATTATTTTAATTAAGGGTACCCGCTTTAAGAGGCTTGGTGTGCCTCGGGAGGGTCTGACTACCCAGGGTTGCGTCACGGTCAATGAAACAGAATAAATAATTTTTCTGCTATTAGCCGGGATTTGAACCTGGGACCTTTAGCATTGGAACCTCAGTAAGGGTACTGAGGGGGCAGGGGCCACTGAGGTACCTCCATCGCCATATGGTCTGTAATGCCAACTGAAAAAAAAAGTTATTCAAGATAGGCGCACCACTTGTGGAGGGAAAATCGAGGCTTAGGAGATCCCTTCGCTTCTCCCTCTACCACTTCACTGGTAATTAAAACCGGTGGAGGATAAGTAAGAGCGCTACTGCCTCAGATATTCATGAGTTGAGTGAAGAATTGCCAGAACTCCAATAATAGATATTTATAAAAGGTCTCGGCCATTGCCGCTTTAACTTATGTTGAGGATTGTAGGGATGGGTGGTGCTTGATAGGGATTGCGGTGATGAGTAAGGTTCTGATGAAATCTGATGAAAATTTTGACTATATATTTTTAATATTCATAACATCTAAATTACAAAAATGAGTCTGCCAGTCGGATCCGTGCTACCCGAAAAAAAGGCGACTGATTCAAAGAACATCAGGCCCTTAACTTGTTGATCGAAACGGTAAATTGATTGCGGCAATATTTTATTTTTTTTAAGCTAGTATATATGTATTTGAATTTGTAAAAAACGCAATTGCTAACGCGGGTTACCAAAGTAAAATTTTTCACAACTAAAAAAGATAATTTTTTTTCTTGTTGTTTCACCAATAAATCGTAAACAGTGCATCGAAGCGAAAAAAGTACTCTATAAGAAATTAAAGAACGTTAAATTGTGCATCTAACGAATACCTAAACATAATAATTTGGTTGAGTGGTACAGCCGATAATTAACGAAAAGTTTACAAAATATGTCGAAAAATGTAACAAATTAATATAAATGGCCCTGCAGCTTGGAAATGAGTTATCTAAGAATACAAATTTATAGAATAAAAGCTGTGGAGCATCGAATTCCGCTTCCACTGAATACCAACAGTTTTAATGTAGATCACTTACTCCCCCAAATATTTTCAAAATTTTCGACAAATATAAATTTTTTTGCACGTACCCTCGGACTACACCGTGTGGCATAACAAACTATAAACCAACCAAATTATATGAAATATCGCCGTTATAAGGGCTTAATCAGTAAAAATTGAGAGGAAACGGTATTATCATCCCCCCTCTCAATAATTCGACTAAAAAAATAACATGAAAAGCAGTAACATTTAATCTACATGAATGAATAAAATATGTAAATTTAAATCAATTAAGAAAACAGGAAAACTCAAATGTATAGTAAAGTACGCAAGCATTTTACCACGCCCTATGTTCCTATTAGTGTTGCCCAAAATCGGTCTTGGTCTTGTAAAGTGCAAGACCAAGACCAAGGCTGCCTAACTGTTGCAAGACCAAGATTAGGACTGGTAAAAAAATAGATTTTTTAAATAAAAATTAAGACAAAATAGTTACTAATACTTGACAATCTTAGTTACTATATGTTAATAATTGGCATTACCAGTATACTTTTTCATTTAACTCCTCTAATTTTTCATTCGGGCTTAGTTAGGTTTCCCCTATCTAAAAAATCATTGCAAGATGTCTATAGTAATAAGCTAATAAGTAACTGCAAGACTGTTGCGCAAGACCAAGACTCGTCTCGGTCTCGCATTTGGGCAACACTAGTTCCTATTATTGAAATTTTAGTTATATTCAAAGATAACTATATGTAGCAACATATCCTTGGGTTTTACGATTCATTCATGTGGACCCTTCCATTTTTACGTGAAGATTTTATGAGGAGAATCGAGAGTTAATCTCACCGCCTCAAACCGTTAAATAAAAATAAAAATATGTAATATACACAATTGATTTGTTATCATATTTTAAATTTTAAAACCTGATAAATTTATTATGTTAATTATCACTCATAATGTTTAAACATAACATAAACTCCCGAGGCTTTTTTTGAGGGGGTCCGCCGATCCCCACCCAGAATGTTGAGTCAGCACCTATGATACTGGTCGTCCCTTTGTTACACCCCGTACAGTACACGATTATCATTTATTATAACTAATAGCCTAATACAAATAAATATATTTTTCAATAGTTGGAAAAAACGAATACTCACAGCAACCATATTTCGTAAGTTGTCGAGATCATTTATGTTGTTACCTCATTACTACATCTGAAAAAAAATAAAATCAAGGTTATTATTCTTATATTGGTATATATAACTGCACTTTAAAACAGACCTGGGCAAAAAGTATTTTAATTATTATCTTAAAATACAGCATTTAAAAAACCAAGCATTTTGTGTTTTTAAAATACAGTGTGTTTTAATTACGAAGTATTTATAATGAGGTAGAGATGGTTGACCGTGATATAATACGAGAAGGAGTTGATCGGGGGGTATGTTAAAAAAATACTAAATTTAAAAAATAGTATTTTAAAGTAATTAATCAATAGTATTTTTAATTATTACGCCTTAATTAAAACTAAGCGTTAATTAAAAATACTACTTTTAAAACTTAGTGTTTTTTTGACCGCATCCCCCGATCAACTTCTTCTCATACAAAGTATTTAAATTGTTTTCAAAAACATTATTTCATGCACAAAATCATTCCTGGTGGGCGATCAACCAATAATACAAGAAACCTATTACATTTGGTAATTTATTTTTTATATTTAAAATATAAAATACATTTTTGTATTTCAGTATCTTGGTTATACCTATAAGTAAACACTATTCACCAGTAGGCGAAGGAAACTAAGGCCAGACTTGTCCCTCCAACTATAACAAAGTTTTATTGAGTTTTTGTTCGGTCAATTGTTATTTTTCTTCTGTTTATTTTATATTTTCTGTACATACAGTCTGGATGTGGTCTTACCTACCTTTAATTATTGTCCAAGTGATGAAATATTATATTACTCAATAAATAAATAAAAAAAAGTATTTTAGAAATAGAATACAAATACTTTGTTTGTTTCTTATTAGTGTATACAAGTGTATATTTTTTATTTACTTATCTTTAAGTTATTTTATTTTATATATTGTAGGTTAAGTTTCTTATGGATACTCAACAGCTGTAGTCTTTCAATCATGTCCTTCAATTATTTATAGTATATACTTTTTGATTATTATTTAGTTGTTATTTTCCTTCTGTTTATTTTATATTACTCTTGGACATGTAATGTGAATGTGGTCTTACTTCCATGTAACCATTGTCCAAGTGACAGAATGTTGTATTATTCAATAAATAAATATATTCTGAAAAATCATTTTTTTGTATATTAGTATCTTGGAAATAAAATAAAAATATTTTTTTGTATTTTAGTATCTTGAAAATAAAATACAAATACTTTTTTTTGTATTTTAGTATCTTGGAAATAAAATACAGATACTTTTTTATATTTTAAAAATAAACTAAAGTTACAAAGCATCTATTTTATATTTTACTTTTTAAAATTCAAAATACAAAAAAATGTATTTTATTTAGTATTTTAAAGTACTTTATTTAAACGAATGCCCTGGTCTGCTTTAAAATGGACTAATTGATGAAAATTCCATGCATCTTGTTAATCAATCTATAATGAGACTAGATTGGTTTGGTCATCGATATGAAATAGGTTGTAGGTTTTTTAAGGTATCAATATATGTTTCCTCACTTAATAAGTTGAGTTTTTATGTTTTCTGTAAATATGATGTAAATGTGTAATAATTATTGTCCACGTGACAGATTATTATATTTCTAAATAAATAAAAAAAATTAGTTGGGTATCGATACTATTCTGCTTTTTATATTTCGTTTCTATCCTCCTACTCTTTTACGGAAACAGTAAAATAAATAAATAAAGAAAGAAGGATAGAAAATATATCATTTAAGGAATATATTTGTTCTGCGGAAGCTACCATGGAATGAAATGATCTAACTTTTGAAGTGCAATCGACAATGAAGAAGGAGAATACATAGGCAATCGAATGGGCGCCAATTTTTGAGGAATTTCGAAATTTTTAGGAGAAATAATAAGAAACTCTTATATATATATATATATATATATATATATATATATATATATATATATATATATATATATATACATATTATAACTCATGAATTATTAGCGATAGCTTTAATATCCATAAACACCAACAACCACTTATTAAATAAGAAAAAAAAAACCTGTCTTAGACTCAGTACTTCGTTTGGAATTATTGTTTTTGGGTCAGTGGTTGTGTAAGGATATTTTGAATAGTAATAATACCAATTGTTAAATTATTACAAATTTTATTAAAATAAACCTATCCTGAGATATATTTTTTTGTCTAAATACTAATTACTTATGAATTAAATGGTATATATTTGAAAATGATCATTATTAATATATCATATATAAGTACAATGACATATATTGATTTACAATTCTAAGAATTAAAAAAATAAGCATTCATATTATTAATTAATAAAAATAATTACTGCAATTTCTTTAACGAAATGCTAACAATTGTAATTATTAAATAATTAAGATATTTTTTTCTTTCCTTCTGTTTTTATTTATTTATTTTAGTGTTTCCGTAAAAGAGTAGGAGGATAGAAACGAAATATAAAAATCCGAATTGTATCGATACTCCGAATACGGCAGAACATTCAATAAAACAAACTTAAAGGTGTTAAAAAAAGAAAAATAAATATTCTAAAAGCGCCTCTGTTTAATCTCCACTAGTCATTAATACCAATGACGCGGCTAAGAGATCTCCTAGAGTTCTGCTTCTTCCTCCACTCGGAGTTCTCCTACACGAATGTCTGTAAATATTGTATATAGTGTGTATAGTAGTGTCAGATTTCACCTACTTTGGTGCTGTTATGGATCGGTCTGGAAAATAGGATTCAGAAACTCTGAACAGGATAAGCAAAACAAACGCTATATACTACCAGATCTGCAATACTGTCATCGGAAAGAGAGAAGTGAGCAAAGGTAAGAAACTGCATATATTTAAGGCAGTATACCTCCCTGTACTCCTATATTTTGCAGAAAGCTAACTGACTGGGTGATGACTGACTGGAGAGAAAAGTCACTGCTGCAGAAATGAGGTTTCTCCGAAGGGTCGCAGGGAGAACGAGACGTGACTGCATTCGCAACGAGAGAATCAGGGAGGGATAGGGTGTTCCCCCGATGAAGGATGTCCTAAAGACTCGGCAGCTTAAGTGGTTTGGGCATGTCGTCAGAATGGAGGAACACAGGGATCCATTAAAGTCTATGGACCATATCCCCAATGATAGAAGACACCGTGGCAGACTTTGACTTGTGACTTTATTTTATTTATTGTATATAGAATGTGAATGAGCTATTTTATCACTGTTACTAATGTCCTTTACAGTGACAAAATGCGATATCACTCAGTAAAAAAATATTTTTTAAAAAATTGTAAAAATTGTATTCAATAATTTAATCACCCGTCCAACTTCTATTCCTTTATTCTTCTCTCTAGAGCGAGGTTTAAGACTAGGTTTTTGTCCACTGTCAAGCCATCGTTTTTCTAAAATATAACAACAAATACAAAATTATTTTCAATAACATTTTATATCAATATAAATAATGTTTTATGTACACTATGTTTTGGGTATTCTCCCATCTTAATTATTTTGATTGTCATATCAGATAGATACACATAAAAACCACCTTATTTTATAAAAAAATTCATTTTAATACATTAATAAATGAAAAAAATACATATTATAGAATCATGAAATGTAGATATTCGTTTTCTTTTACTTCAATTTTTTTCTAAATTTAAATAATCTATTGTACAACTTATCCACAATTTCCATCTTAATCTCAATCTCGGTGAGTTGTAATAAAAAATTAAATAAATGGCACAGACAAAATTGTGCAAGTCTATCTTAACCTGTAACAGCGATCATCAGGACAGAAGCTAGTAACTGTACCCAGAAGTATTGCTGTTTAACTACTTTTTTATTGCGATATTTAATGAATAATTAATTAGAAAATTAATCGTGCTTCTTTGAAAATAGTTATTATTAAACTCGTAGCTTTTAAACAATATTTTCTAGTCAACCTCTATCATTAGCTTTCTTAATTTTTTTTTTCTTTCAAGAACGCAAACTAAATTACTCTTATTTTATCAACACTGTCATCATCACCTATGCCGATGACACGTGTATCCTATCAGTTAATAACGATCCATCTATTGCATCCCAAACGCTTCAATCACACATCACAAGACTTGAAAAATGGTGTCAGAACTGGAGGATTAAAATAAATTCCAATAAATCCCATCAAATTACCTTCACTCTTCGCCGTAAACCTATGACTTCCTGTCCTACAGTATCCTTTAACAATAGCCCTCTTATCCCTGTCGAACAAATCCGATACTTGGACTCCACCTTGACAAACGACTCACTTGGAACCCCCATACCAGACTGAAACGACTAGAAACCGCCCGACGTTTCCGACTACTCCAGCACTTACTAGAAAAACGCTCTAAACTGCCAACTATTTACAAAAGACTCATATATATTACTATAATAAGGCCTATTTGGACTTACGGGATCGAGCTTTGGGGCTCTACTAAACCATCAAATTCCTCTCGTATCCAATCCATACAATCCAAAATCTTTCGTAAAATCCTTAATGCTCCCTACTTTGTCACAAATAAAATCACCCATAATGACCTTAATGTACCATATGTTTCCGATTTAGCTCAATCCAGATACCTGTCCTTTCATAATAAACTTCTGAACCATCCGAACCCTCTCGTTTCCAACCTGTCTTCCTCCTCGATCCCTGATAATCCTCCGAGGAGTCTGAAAAGAAGATGGCCTCGGGACCTTCTAATATAGAACTTTAATTTGAGTTCTACCAATGGGTAGTTTCTCTTCATGTTGTACATGTAATGTTACCAATTTCACATTTACTTATTGTATTTTCCATGTAATACAGGTGTAAATCTCAATAAAATAAAATTAAAAAAAAAACTCTTATTTTATTGTTTCAGATTAATTTCACCAGAAACTCATTCATCATCCAAATCCTGTAGCACAATCCCTATCTAGCTCCAGTCATCCCTACAATCCTCCCCGGAGGTTAAAACGGCAGTGGCCCCGCGACCTTTTGTAAATATGTATATATTGGAGTACTGG